ATGGTCACGTGATGGTGGGGAGGGGGGGGGGACTGAGATATTTGTTGAGGTGCTGTAAAGTGCCCGAAACGTCGGGAATTAAAAAAGTTTAAATTAAAAGCGATAATATTTTTTTATTCCAATTGTAGTATCCACGTAAATATAAGAAATCATTACATGGTCCTGAATTCTATTTGGTTCCCCGATTCTTTTTTAGAAGTTTTATTGATAACCTGAATTACTTAAGTAACAGATTGGCGTATCGATGTATATTAGTAATCGATGTACCGTTAGTTCATTTTGAAGACCAGTCCAAGTGAATATTTGAGAGAATTCCACATTATTAACTTCCTTAATCGTATTGTTCTTGTTTTTTGGAACTGCATCGAATAAAGAAGGAAATAAAACGATATTACTGATTGTGGGTGCATTTGTATGTAGGTAATACTTATTATTTTATGAGTTGTTTGTACACTTTAGATGTCTTTAAACTACTTATACACACAATGACAACCTTGAAGTGTCATCGAAATTAGACTATATGCAAACATAAACACAGGACAGACGCTTACGACATTATATTATTTAATTATCTTTCTCTGATGACTGATTCCATGAACCGTTGGAAGCTTTTTCTATCGTCGATGTCTATGAACAGTGCGGTACCTGTTTGTGCGTAAACTAGCGGCACTATAAATCAACCATAAATGCCATTCGTAACATACAGTGACGTCATCAGCTACTAATCTAACGTGAACTACTATATTTTAGATTGGCACAGCTTGTGTCTCACGCTAAGTGTTGTATCTGTGCCACCGCTCGCGCATACCCGATCAGTAGACTAACACACACCTACGCTTGTATCAGCATTCGAAACTTGTGCGTTTATTGCTTTCACTTTTACATCGATGCACCCCATTAATGGCTTACTTTATGTTTACGTCTAACAACTGGTCGCTGAATAAGGAGTTCCGTCCGGCTTCTGTTATGCTAAAGGTTTAACAGTGATCTTTAGATTAACCATGTATTGTAGATTTAGATATAGAGTTCTTTGATTAGTAAAATAGTTTTGAATCAAGTCGCGCATTTGTTTACTACCATGTCTTGATTTCTTGGTAGAAAATCAAAGAATCATCGGATTTTGATGACACTAACTGAACGAGATAGTGTAATGAGTATTCGAACGACGGCATTTCAAGGAAATAAATAATTTTTATGCCATTAAGTTTTTTATAATACACTAATCTATGCTATTTGCACATGCATATCCATGTTTTGTTCATTTAAATCTCAAAGAAGAACATTCCACGATGATAGTTTTATCTTTAAATTCATTTGGAGATATCAAGCTATGCGCTGGCAGACATTTTAATATTGAGATATACATATAAATTATGTGCCTAAGATAATATAAAATATTAAATTAGGCGAACTAAAAAACAAGTTCAAAAAACGAAGATACCGTTCATCATCATCATCATTACAGCCTTTCATAAGTCCACTGCTGAACATAGGCCTCCCCCAAGGAATGCCACAAAGCACGGTCCTGAGCCACCTGCATCCATCGACTTCCTGCATGTCTTACCAGTTCGTCACTCCATCTAGTGGGGGGTCGCCCTACACTTCGCCTACCGGTACGAGGCTGCCACTCGAGAACCTTTCTTCCCCATCGGTTGTCGGTTCTTCGAGCTATATGGCCGGCCCACTGCCACTTCAGCTTACTAATCCGTTGGGGGCTATATCGGTTACTCTGGTTCTACTGCGGATATCCTCATTTCTAAGTTTATCACGCAGAGAAACCCCGAGCATAGCCCTCTCCATAGCTCGCTGAGCGACCTTGAGCTTCCTCATACGGCCAGCAGTGAAGGACCACGTCTCAGATCCGTAAGTCATCACTGGCAACACGCACTGGTAGTACAATTTCGTTTTAAGGTTTTGAGGTATGTCTAACGAGATGTGTCGTTATTGTACCGTTACAGCCTATTAAAGTCCACTGCTGAACGTAGGCCTCCCCCATATATTGAATCATAGGGTGGATATTTGCCATAGGTGCCATGCTTGGCAAGCGATTGGTAACCGTAGTTTTTTTTATATTTAGTCATTGATAGGAAGACGATGCTGCACACCTCCTGATTTGTGATTTGTGTCCCTCTATCGCCTTCACGACATCCACGGAATGATATGGGGTAGTGGATATTCTTACACCGCCACTACACGGTACACACTGTACATAATACGGCTCACATTAAAATTAATCACTAAGACGACATTTTAAGCTAATTTCAAAGTACTTTTTTATCAGTAGTTTCTTCGATAAGTAAAACTTTAAGGTGTTCCAAGATTTTGTTATCAACTGAATGGGTTTATTCACCCCTGTTCCTTTTAGATTAAAAGAAAAATAACAACAATGGATAATTGTGGTCAGACAAACTGTAAAATTCATCTCACTTATATTATACTGTTTCGATGTTTGTCCGTCAATCACGCTTGATCGGCTGGACGGCGTCTAAAGAAAAGGCATAGCAGTCGAATAGGTAGTAAAATACGACAAGTGGTAAAATTAAAAGTTTTGTACAACCGACTACAATATAAATAAAATGAGAACATCATCAATGAAGTCGAAGTCAATTAGATACGCACTATTGAGGATAACTCAAATACTACTGGTCAGATCTTTATCAAACTTATATGGGGCCACATGAGAAGTTACTTTTTTTTTTATAGCAAACGAGCATGCGGCTCACCTGATGGTAAGTGACTACCGCCGCCCATGAACAACTGCAACACCAGGGGAATCGCAGATGCGTTGCCGGCCTTTTAAAAAGGAGTACGCTCTTTTCTTGAAGGTCCCTAAGTCGTATCGGTCCGGAAAAATCGCTGATGGTAATCGATTCCACAAGGAGGTCGTGCGAGGAAGAAAACATCTTCTAAATCGCACAGTGGTGGACCGCCAATCATCCAGATGGTGTGGATGGTATCGGGAGTTCTGCCGCGATGTGCGTTCGTGAAATTTGGCGGCTGGGATTAATCCGAACAATTCCTCAGAGCACTCCCCAAGGTAGATGCGAAAGAAAATGGAAAGGGATGCAACATCTCTTCGCAGTGCCAATGAATCGAGCCGATCGGAAAGGGCTCGGTCGTCGACGATTAGAGAAGTAACTGCTTTCAAATAAAACTCCTGATTTGTGATTTGTGTCCCTTTATCGCCTTCACGACATCCACGGAATGATATGGGGTAGTGGATATTCTTACACCGCCACTACACGGTACACACTGTACATAATACGGCTCACATTAAAATTAATCACTAAGACGACATTTTAAGCTATTTTCAAAGTACTTTTTTATTAGTAGTTTCTTCGATAAGTAAAACTTTAAGGTGTTCCAAGATTTTGTTATCAACTGAATGGGTTTATTCACCCCTGTTCCTTTTAGATTAAAAGAAAAATAACAACAATGGATAATTGTGGTCAGACAAACTGTAAAATTCATCTCACTTATATTATACTGTTTCGATGTTTGTCCGTCAATCACGCTTGATCGGCTGGACGGCGTCTAAAGAAAAGGCATAGCAGTCGAATAGGTAGTAAAATACGACAAGTGGTAAAATTAAAAGTTTTGTACAACCGACTACAATATAAATAAAATGAGAACATCATCAATGCAGTCGAAGTCAATTAGATACGCACTATTGAGGATAACTCAAATACTACTGGTCAGATCTTTATCAAACTTATATGGGGGCCACATGAGAAGTAACAGCTTTCAAATAAAAAAGAATCATCAAAATCGATTCACATAGAAAAAAATTCTGAGGTAACACAGATTAAAAAAAAAAACAATTGAATTGAGTACCTTTTCCTTTTTTTGAAGTCGGTTGACACGGGTATTTTTTCTAATATTACTAAAGTTTAATTCATGCCACGAATCGGGTGCTATCGGGGACGGGTAGTACTATTATTATAAACTTAAATATATATTGATAGTAAAATATATTAATTGCACCTGAATTAGCGTAAATTTTGTTACAAGTATAAAATAAAAAAAAAAAAGTTAAATAACGTTATTATTGCGCATGTGAAGGTTAAATTTGTACCAGCTGTGTTATTCGCATAAATTATATTCAGAAGTCCAATGTGAGTGCAAAGACTGCTAGTCTGCCACAAAACACGGTCTCGGTTTATCTGCCATTTGACTTCCTGTGTTTCGATACCCTAAGTGTAATTCCTCAATAATTAGAGAGAAGAAGATGCAAACTACAATTGTAATTATATATTTTAATGTACATATTTATATAATCAAATTTGCCGTGGTTAGCTCTGGCTCTACATGTTTACTGTAAATTTCACAGTAAGCGAGCAATGTAGTAGAGCCATGCTGCAGCTATATTAGTAGTATAGTTGTAGCACGAATGGATCGGCTCGACCGGGGAAGGACCACGCTCTGTGTCGCAAACACTGCCTGTGTTTCGTATGGTGAGTGTAGAGAACCGGAGACCCTTTTTACTGAAAAAGAGGCATTCCATCTTAGTCCTCACGGGTGACAACGCATCTGCATTTTGATTCGCAAACGAGGATAGATGTAGATATCTATAGGCCACAGCAACCACTTACCATCAGGTGGACTGTGTGCTTGTTTGTCACCCTATCCTATAAAAAAAAACCGGGTTCGATCCCAGTTGGCACCTATAAAATTGTTGATTGCAATTTTATAGTGCTGATTTACTACGTGCTCGGCAATGAAGAAAAACATCATGAGGAAACCTGCAAGTCTGAGAAAATAAAATAAAAATCCTAGACCTGAAATTCGCCAACACATAGCGGCTGACATTTCCTTGCCCTAAAAACCCTCTCATAAGTGAAGGAGGCCTGTGCGTAGCCTTGGGACGTATATAGGCTGGAACTTGACTATCAAATCTCTAGCATTAACGCTAAAATATTTTTGTTATTTAATTTCTACGGAGAGTGCATAATTTTAAATTTATGCTCTAAAATGTTCCTAATAGACAATAATTGTTTCAGATGACGACGTCACGTTGCCAGATAAGCATAAATTCGACTCTAGGACGTACGTCAAGCCAAAGAAACGCGTTCAAAGACCGAGCATCCAGAGCATCGTGGAGGTTACCTCCAATCCACCCTCCATGACGCTCAACTCGTCTCACAACCAGTCTGCCAACAAATACCTAACGTACAACAAGTATACAAACCCGTTGGGTCCAATATTGAGGCTAAAGACTTTCAATGTAGATACTAATACAGAGAACAGCAGTGCTGTTAAAGAATACGCAATGAAGAGGAGGAGTCTCGTGCAAGAAGATGATCCTCAGGTAATGGTTATTATTTAGTTATAATTCCTAATCGTACATAGATGTAGTATGTCTATGTGCCACAGTAACCACTTACCATTAGGTGGACTGTGTGCTCGTTTGTCACTCTTATCCTATTAAAAAAAAAACTCTCAGTAGCAACCCAGAGTTGAGAAGCTTTCTGTGTTTCATCCCCGTGCCTCGGAGAGCACGTAAAGCGTGTTGATCCTTCACCGGACCTCTCCGGTCGTGTCGGGTTCCCGTCTCATCCAACTATTAAAGTGACGGAATAGAGGGTGCAACTGTGATTGGGCACACACTTGTGCACTATAACTATAATCCTGTCCTGCACAGATGGTTAATTTCCCTTGAGGCTTGTCGGGGTGACCGAAATACAGTCTGGAAGACGTTATCATTTACGCCAGACGTAAAAAAGTAGCACGGAGATGTGGAGCAGTGTTAATAATCCGAGACGCTTGGTATTGCGAAAATTCGCCTGCCAAGCTTGGCGATTATGGGAAATTGAAATCGGGAAATAGGAAATATTATCGACTAGCTATTCCCCGCGACCCAAATAACACGCGGGCGAGCGTGTTATTTGGGGTTTTAATTTTTTTGAGCGGATCCCTAATTCTTTTTCTAAAATAAAACGCCTTACGCCTTATGAAATCAGCTATCTGCCAGTGAAAGTCCCGTCAAAATTGGTCCAGCCGTTTCGGAGATTAGCCGTAACAGACAGACAGACAGACAAACAAAAATTTTAAAAATTGTGTTTTTGTTATGAGTACCGTATATACTTTCATATGCAATTAGTAAAAAGCTGTAATTTTGACATTACAAACAGACACTTCAATTTTATTTATTTGTATAGATAATCATTCACTTCTACATATTTGATTACATTTTGCATTAATGGAGATAGTGGATAAAGTGTGTGTTCTGCAACACTTCTGCGTGATCATAACCAATGACCAGTGATCGTATACAAAAGAAAAACTTGATAGAAAATTCCCACAACACTGAGCTAAATTAATAACAGGTGATTGTAGTTTTATTTTAGTCTGTGGTGGCAATGGTTTTATATCGAAATGTTTTAAAGTGACATCATCATCATCATTATTACAGTTACAGCCCATCACAAGTCCACTGCATAGGCCTCCCTCGAGGAATGCCACAAAGCACGGTACTAAGCCACCTACGTCCATTGAAGCTTTTTTTTATAGGATAAAGATGATAAACGAGCACATAGTCTAGTAAGTGGTTGCTGTGGCCCATAGACATCTACATTTATCCTCAATTACGAATCAAAATTCAGATGCGTTGTCACCCGTGAAAACTAAGATGGAATGCCTCGTTTCCAGTAAAAAGGGTCTCCGGTTCTATACACTCCCCATACGACACAGCAGCGTTAAGCTGCTATTTTACGCTGGTATTCTGTGAGAGCGTCGTCCTTCCGCGGTCGAGCCGACCCATTCGTGCTACAACTATACTACTAATATAGCTGCAGCATGGCTCTACCACGTATAAATTAATTCTGTAAAATTATTGCTTTCTTTTTTCACTGTTTCTTAGCTTCAGTAAGTGAAGAATATGGTAGGTAAAGGCTTCTTTCAAGATTTAATACGTTATCAGAAATACGAAACGTTTAAAGTGTTAGTGGTTAAGAAATGAAAGTAACTGATCGCATCGTGCATAAGTCGAGCACTGCCCATTGTATTCGCAAATAATGGACTCAGTCTTTGTCCTCTTTGTACTTTATATTTTATCATCTTCGATATATTTCTTTATAGACTGCCTTGGTAATTGAAGTATATGCATCAGTTTTGAAAAATTAGATACATTTAAATTACCCTTTTTACTGAGGGTAGTCTCTGGGACAACAATTATTATAAGAGTTAAGTCTTAACCAACAATAAATTTAAGAACAAACAAATTATAGTTATGGTAGTTTAAATTTTTTTTGTGATTAATTCTTTTACTGTAGTAGTTAGTAGTATTAGTCAATCAAACAAACAAACTAAAAAGTACTTTCTACGTGATGAATTCACCATCATTTAGTAATTTAATCTCTTATTCTTTATCAGTGATTTGTGGCTGTCAGATTTTTTTAGTTGTTTGCTTGGAGCCGTATGAATTATAATTCTATAACAAAACTACATTTTCTTCGAGAGCTGGTAACCCTAATTGTAGTTTAAATACACAGTCCATTCATTCCTAATAAAAAAGAACAATTGTTCAGTGCAATATTACGTCTGGGAACTAAGTTGGGAATTCAAATTTTTTATATTATTAGTTAAAAAAAGTAGTGAATGAAACATAAAATATAATAAAGATTTTAGTTAAAAGAAAAATACAATCATAAAACAGAAATATACATATAGACGTTTTGGTGGTTTTAGATTGTGGTAATGAAAGTGACCTCAGTAACTAGATCTATCTCGCGTATCCGTAATCACTAGTCGGAATACTGTACAGATATTGAATATCGTTTGCTTGTGTAATATTTCTAAAAGTCTAGATCACGTAATCTTTTTTAACTCAACTACGGCAATAGTTATTTTGGGGTGACTCGGACATGTTGATCGACTTTCGTTAAACGAAACGTGTGCCTGTGCTCCTTAAAATACGTTTTAAATGATTTCTCGCATTTATTTTTTTAACCTACTTTATAACAAGGAGAAGGTTAGTAATTCGAATGTATTTACGTGGTAGAGCCACGTTGCGTCTGTATTATGGTTGTAGCACGAATGGGTCGGCTCGACGGGGGTAGGACCACGCTCTCCTAGAATACCAGCGTAAAATAGCAGCTTAATGCTGCTGTGTTCCGTATGGTGAGTGCAGAGAACCGGTGACCCTTTTTACTGGAAACGAGGCATTCCATCTTAGTTCTCACGGGTGACAACGCATCTACATTTTGATTCTTAATCGAGGATAAATGTAGATGTCTACGGGCCACAGCATCCACTTACCATCAGGTGGACTGTGTGCTCGTTTGTCACCTATAAAAAAAATGTATTTTTTAACGTTACACATCGTCGGACTTTTTACTCCCAAAGTCATTCAACAACATAAAACTAAAGTAACAGTCGTTACACAAGTATGTCTATTTTTACAAAACAAGCATTAATAGAATTAATAAGTATAAATATTCATGACATAGGTAAAAATCCAACCCTAGTAACGGAAGTGATGTGTTTGTAAATAAATTATTAGGACCATTAACATACACAAATAGTAACCCACTCATCTAAATAGTCATATGTTGTTATTATCACCCGTCCGTGTTGCATCACGAAACAAAATTGGAATGCACGATGTGTCGGAGTGAAAATAGATCTTGAAGAAAAATCAAACTTTGACAGCTTGATAAATAAGGTAATTATACTTGTAACTAGCGACTCGCCCTGGCTTCGCCTGTCTGGATTTATTGACGCTGTGTCGTTTAGGTTTTTATAATTTTCGATTTAACAAAAGAATTCCAAGAATTTTGGATAATAATTTATAGCCTAAATCACACCTGACATTGCTTTCCATCTGTTTGTAGAGTTTCATCATATTCAGTTCAGCCATTCGGAAGATTAGGCTGGAAGGACATATAAACAGACAATAAAATATTTAGTCTTTTTCGTGGTTGTCGTCTTACCATGGTATTATAATTGCACCGCGGCTCGGCAGGGAAAAACGGCGGTAGCACAGAATAGCCTGGTAATGATGAATTCAATCGCAGACCTCACGGCTGATAAAGCATATTAATTTTCAACCGACTTCAAAAAAAGGAGGTTCTCAATTCGATAGTATTTTTTTATGTGTGTTACCTCATAACTTTTTTCTTGGTGAACCAATTTTGATGATTCTTTTTGTATTTAAAAGCTGGTGCTTCTTATGTAGTCCCATATAAATTCGATCAAGATCTGACCAGTAGTTTTTGAGATATCCTTAATTTATATTGAAGTCGGTTGTACAAAATTTTTAATTTTACTTTTAACTATGAGCTACAGCGGTCACTTATCATATATTGATCAGTTATCTTCGTTTGTCACCGATGTTCTAGCTGATTTCGACTACGTTAACAATTTTCGAACACAAGACAATTGAGGCACTTCACATTGCGTTTTGTGTCTGCGTATAATCAGTGTATTTGGTGAAATAATTCTTGTACGGCACTGCCTCTCACATCTGAGAGCACATGCTTCTCATACGTGGTAGAGCCATCCTGCAGCTATATTAGTAGTATAGTTGTAGCACGAATGGGTTGGCTCTACCGGGGAAGGACCACGCTCTCACAGAATACCAGCGTAAAGTAGCAGCTTAACACTGCTGTGTTTCGCATGGTGAGTGTATAGAACCGGAGATCCTTTTTACTGGAAAAGAGGCATTCCATCTTAATCCTCACGGGTGACAACGCTTCTGCATTTTGATTCGCAAACAAGGATAGATGTAAATGTCTATGGGCCACAGCAGCCACTTACCATCAGGTGGACTGTGTGCTCGTTTGTCACCCTATCCTATAAAAAAAAAACTCTCACATCGTACTGCCCTAGTGCATACTGGCGGACTTCACATGTCTTTAAAATGTTTTTTTATAATCTCAGAAATGCATGTTTCCTCACGATATCTTCTTACTCCGCCGACCACATAGTAAAGCATTTTAATTATTCCAATTAACAATTTTATTGGTGTCGGCTTAAGTCGAACCGGGGTTGATGGGTGCTTAGCCCCTGAACTATCACGGTTCTAATGTACTCGCTAATATTACAACCGCACCATCACACTCTGTGAAGATCAAAGGAATGTAATAAATTATAATTTGAGTCGTTACACATCATACGCAGCATGCGGCAAATTGCAGTGCAGAGAAATAAGTGTTGTTTCGCGAGCGATAACTTAGCGTTTCGACCCGCTCGTTGGTTTTCGGTATGTACTTAAAAGGGTGAACGTATAACAGAACTTGAAAGGATTCAAATGGATTCCATGCGCGTATGATTCAAATTATGGACGGGCTGTTCGACAAATATAGCGACTACATATACCGATATGTGAACATTAAACACGATGTAGTGCCACCATAATTTTGTCTTAACTGATAGAACGCTTTTATTACGAGATTTGATCGGCTGTCCTATTTCAAAACCGTGTAAGGACTATTTCAAAACCAAGTAAAGACTATAACTTAGTTTGACAGGAGAGTAACAAAACATAATTCGAAGTAGTTCTTGATAAGTTTTACTTATTTATTTATTAAAGGTTATTTTTAAGGATTTATTGCAGACTAGCTGTTAAACGTGACTTCGCCCGCGTGCTATTTGGTGTTTTAATTTTTTTGCGCGGATCCCTATTTCTTGATCTAAAATAAAAGTAGCCTAAGTTACTCCTTGTGACATCAGCTATCTGCCAGTCAAAATCCCATCAAAATCGGTGCAGCTGTTTCGGAGATTACCCAGAACAAACAGACAGACAAACAAAAACTTTAAAAATTGTATTTTTGTTATTAGTAACGTATATACTTTCATATGCATTAAGTAAAAAGCTGTAATTTTGACGTTACAAACAGACAGTTCAATTTTATTTATTTGTATAGATATTTTCTGCTTTCAATGAATTCAATTACTTTCAATGAAAATCAAGAATTACCAATGTAAGAGTAAAATTTTGAATAAAAACAATTTTTAAAATATCGCTAACTTGATTTTGATATGAGACAGCCGAAATAAGGATAGCGACAACCAATCACATTACATTCAGACCCGGAAACATATGATTTACCCTTACACAAATAATAACTGCAGTACAAAACATAAATAACCCTTAAAAAACGTTAATTTTACCAAAATTATTTTGACATTTCGATATTCACGGGGACTGAGGTCAGTCAACGTTTTCAAATACAACGTTCTGATATAATTAAACCGGGCTACCTTTAGCTTTTCAGAATAAGCGTATGGTATCTTGAAGTCTTAAAATGTGGTATGCATTGCTTTGGAATGGAATTTAAATTACTTTAATTCAATGTTGCCCTAGTAGTTACGTAAAATTTTACTTAAAATTTTACATGACACTGTAGCTGTACTGAATGAATTCTCGGTTGGCAACCGCAGTTTTTATTTACTTTGAATCCTTATCAGAAAGAGGCTGCTTCCCATTTCCTGTTTCATTTCCCTTTGTCGCCTCTTACTGCACTTATGTAATATATTATGTAGATAATGGATCCTCCCGACACGCATATACGCGAATACTGCTCAAGGAAAAGAATTTACTTTAAAAAAAAATTAAAGTTACAGCCTATAAATACGTCCCACTGCTGGACACATTTCTCATGCTTCCATTTCAGCCCGGCTAGCATGGGCGGGGGACAAAAATTTTATCCCCCGATTATATCCACTGACAAGAGATAAAATTATCTTGTTATGTCAAACGGGGAGAAGTATATCCCCGTTTGACATAACGAGTAGACATATATCCCCCGTCCGTAGCATGGAGCGAAATGAAAGATAAAAAATTATGCTTTTTTTGACATTTGAAAGGGACAATTTTATCCTAGTTCATTGGACGTGGGTTTACATTCATACACAACAACTAACAACAACTTTATATTCATACAAAAAAATCTATCTAAGTCTAAGTTTATCTCCCAATTTACCTACTGTGGATATGCCCACCGATGTGCCCATGCTCTAAGGGTGGTGGATAAAACTAAGCGAGGGGATAACATTTTCTCCTTTCCCCGGGGATAAAATTGTCCCCCGCCCATGCTAGCCGGGCTGAGAGGGTTTCTAGGACAAAGAAATGTCCGTCGCGTTACTTGCAATGCGTGTTTCATGTTTCCTCAAAATATTCAAATTCCTTAGATATGCAGGTTTCCTCACCACAATGTTATCTGTCACAGCCGAGCACGTGGTAAATCAACACTTAAAATTTCAATTAACAATTTTATTGGTGTCGGAGGGGATTGAATCCGTGCCGCTCGCGTACTGTGAAATTCACGGCCAGCGCTTAGCTCCTGAGATACCACGGTTTTTTTTGTATTTTCCCGTTAACCACTCGAGACATTATAGTTTAGGAGTAGTAGGTCGGAAAGCGAAAGTAAACGCTATAGGATCGTATACCTTAATACGATCCTATAGCGTTCACTTTCGCTTTCCGTGCCCAAAACCGTTAGGCTACTGTCAAGAGACAAATTAATAACAGTGTACCAATTTCCAGCTTGAAGACTTGGAAGTGGGTCCGAGCTCAGATGCCTCTGACCGGCTGTCGGGACACGTGACATCAAGACCAATCAACATAGACCTTTCGCAGCCGGCTCATAACTTGCACAACACGTTCAACAAGTATGTATTTAGATGACACCGAACAGGTGGTGTGCTATATTTGGAATGTATTGTTTTTTTCTTTTCAGTTTATAGGCTAAAAGGCTAACGGTTTGCGATACTATATAGGTTTTTTTTTGGTGATGGATAATACACAGACGATTTATATATTTATAGTTTACTAGCGATCCGTGTTCCGTCCCATCTTCGCACGGGTGATTAAGGGATCCAATTGTGAATCTAGAACCAAAAATGAGTCCTACACAAAAAAAAAGTTCAAAATCAGTCCAGTGACAAATACACGTACAAAAGATTTATATACAAAGATAAACAAGGAAAAAGAAATTCCCCTTTTTTTTTTTGTAGTATTGTGGAGGCATTTTCCATACATAAATTGCATAGAATAATTATTTTTAGGCAATACCAAATATCTTGTTTCGCGCGAGACTCAAACCCGCGTTTCAAAATGCCGCAAGCAAATGCTCAGTCACTGCCTTGTATAAAAAAACTGTATCGTCTAATGGCATTTTTATATCTACCTTTCCAAAGTCGTTAGATATATTCAAGTTCGAATACATACAGTTCTTAATACGACATAACGTGAAAGTTGGTCATGTTACACGTTAGTTATTCATCAATAATTTTATAGAGGCAGAGATTGTCTGATTGATATTATCGATACTAGCTTTTAAGGTGACTTTAAAAGGGAGGTCCAAAATTCGACTCTCTTTTTATTTTATTTTTTTAGTATAGTATGTTATGTGAAATCTTCGCCAGTTGAAACCGGACTCTGAACATTATTTTTTATATTAAATAAATATACTTCAGTGGTGGTCCATTATAAATTTGGAGGAAAAATTGGGCATGAAGTTTTTAATGTAACAATCTAGGCGTCATTGAGATTGTGATATTCCACTCAACTTCTTTAATTTCAAAGAAATAAAACGAATAAAATAATTTCACATTCTGAAGTCAGGGTCTTAATACTCTAAACTATGGCTTAGCATGAGATTTATGCGAGAACTTACTTACTTATCTTCACGCACAATCCCTGACGGGGTAGCCAGAGAGAACAGATCGCCAAGTGTCACGATCCTTACATATCTCTTTCGCTTCTTTCAGATTCATTATCTTCTTCATACATGCACGTCTAGGTATCCGAGTACTCTTGACCCTACCCTCTTCGAGCAATTTGCTCACATGGTCTTCGAAAGTTAGTCTCGGTCTACCTCGACACCTTTTAATATTAACTTTCGCGCTATTTATTTTCTTCACCATTCGGTCTTCACTCATTCGCTCAACGTGCCCAAACCACCGAAGCACGCCCTTATCAATTTTTGTGATAAGGTCATCTTTCAAACCTGCCATATTGCGAATCTCTTCGTTTCGCTTTCGGTCGGCCATAGTAACGCCGCACATTTTACGAAGAGATCGCATCTCCACTGCGAGAAAGAATTTAAATTTTTTCAAAACCTAACCTAACCTAAAATAGGATATTAATATATAAAAAAAACAACAACGAAAGCAAACGTCAATGACAAAACGAAGCCAACCACGACTCCCGCCAGAGTTACACAATTACACTGGCTGGTCTCCGATATCGATGCAATCTTTCTTTCGGCGGCAAGACATTATTTTGGTTCTTGTCTTAGCTGAATTTTGTGATGGATGTTCTAACGCAGCCACTTCGTTGAAACCAGAGTGCTTTCTTGCGTTTTTTATTCTGGTGAAGAAACTAAAGTTCCCTTATTAAAAAAAAATGTTATAAAGACAGTTAAGATAAAGAACGGTTGCCAAGCGGAACGATCATACTGCTTCCAGTCTCTATTTGTACGTCAATTAAGTTTAAGAACCAGATTGTTCCCTACTAGACTTGGGCCTCTCATACAGTATGGTAGATTTCCCGTAATTGCTACGCTTGGTAGGAAGTTTGACAATAGCAGTATTAGACGTCGCGCATCACTGACGCCGCTCCCTGGAACTGCTCTTAGTATTTGGTATATGGGATAAATATGACATGGTTATTCAGTAAAAAAAATGTGTTTTTAAAGAAACAAAGGTGTTTTCAGAAGTATATTAAGTAAGTATTTGTGACAACTTGTGTGGCAAGTCTAATATATAAACATTAATGTTTGTTTGTTCGTATTTTATGCGCTGCCATACCGTTCATCAGATTGTGGTAAAACTTTGTCCAACTTATTATAAACATAGTACAATATTACTTACAGTATGTGGCGCGAGTATCGTACCGACATTTGAAAGTTATATATCAATTAATTTAGATGAATGTATGCGAAAATGTATTATCATTTCTAATTAAACAATATAATTCTTTCAAATATGAAACGATATTTTTACAATTATTTCTTCTGCGGCAACAACGCGCCGGGACCTAGCAGGTCATTAATAATTTTATTTTATTGGTTCATCAGCGTCACTAGCAATAACATTTTAGGTTCATGAATAGAGCCGGTTTGAAAATCCATCACTTCATATAGTCCCGCTGGTATCGTAAGAAGTGATAATGATAAAGACCAAAAATCCCATAATAATTGGCGGTATCACTATTTAGTGTAAGCGAGATATAATATACCCAGACTAGCGATGAGGAATAGTATCAAAGGTAAGATTTACTGCTCGTCATTCTATACGCAAAATGTGCCGATAACAGTAACACCCGTGTTCAAGAACGATACTATGCGTACGCACAGCGCACAGTGGACGAAATTTTGTTTCATAAACGTCACTTGAGTGTTAGACGACGCTATGCGCTCATTATAATGAACGCACAGATAAAGTAGTTAAATCTAAATCTATTCTACTATGGTAGAGGCCCAATTCTAGTATTGGACTGTTATGAATTGACAAAGAAAGAGAATAATAAAATCGAATAAAGTCTAGGTGGTAGCACTCTTTCTCTGCCTAGGCGTCCGATTGAATAGGTACCACCCTGATACCAGCAGTAATACTAGTACTGCTATGTTTCGGTCTGATAACATGGGGAGACACTATAATTATAGATTATGTGCCCTATGAGGTGACAACGCATCTATAATCTTCTTTATTTAAAACTAGCTGTTCCCCGCGATTTCGCCCGTGCGTAATTTATTACGATTGGATTTGATGGGTTTTAATTTTTTGCGCGGAACCCTAATACATTTTCTAAAATAAAAGTAGCCTGAGTTACTTCTTATAACATCAGCTATCTGCCAGTGAAAGTCCGATCAAAATTAGTCCAGCCGTTTCGGAGATTAGCCGGAACAAACAGACAAACAGGCAAAAATTTTAAAAATCGTGTTTTTGTTATAAGTACCGTATATACTTTCATATGTATATAGTAAAAAACTGTTATTTCGTCATTACAAACAGACACTTCAATTTTATTTATTTGTATAGATTAGTTCCAGGTGTCCATGGGCTGCTGTAGGTTACTATCATGTGGACTGTAAAATCCTTTATATACTTCAATTTAATTTAAAAAAAAATGGTGAATTTCGCTCATGTTTAAGTAGGACTTTTCCAGAAAAATATAAAACGTATGGCAACATTAGTCATGATGCGCGAACGCAACACGAGGATTACGTATCCATAATAATTAAGCGAACCGAAATTCAAAATAAAAGACACAATCGATGTTAAATTTCGTGACAATTACCCGAGATGACTGTGCGGCACGGAACGTCGTGAAAGTGATTTGCACGGAAAGAAACTCAGTCGGTCTTTTTATAAATTTAACAATCGCTCTTTCAAATTTGGTTTCTTTTTAGCCGATTTCAAAAAAGAAGGAGGTTCTCAATCCCACTGTGTTTTTTTACTATTATAAGCCGGTGCTTGACTACTATCCCACCTGATGGTAAGCGGTGGTGCAACCGATGATGGTAGTGACAGTAGACAAGGCAAGAGTGAATATAAACTTTTGATAAACTTAGTCTATCAAAAGCCTATATTTACTCTTGCCTTGTCTTGAAGATACCCACATTACATGTTACACGATATCTTTGTCAATTTTGAACCGATTTTAATTCTTCTTTTTTTTTAAATTAAATACTTCAGGAACTTGTGCAAAAAATATTTTCTGAAGTGAACACTTTTATACACTCACACATGTCTAAGTATCGTTCGTATCATGTCGCAATTATTTTAATCTTTCTAGTTCTTTGAAGTCGGCTTTTACTTTTTATTAAAAGTTTAATTTTGCATCACTATTCTTATCTATATTAGGTATACTTCTACTATTTTATATTGCTTGACAGATATACTTTAATCCAGAGAATATTAGCGCTAGACGTGTGTCAATCGTGAATGATTCGTACATTTGACCCGGGTCACATCGAAGTATTGGTGATTGCTATTACATTTTTTGAACGTTCCGAATCAAACGGTTGACAGGACCTACGACCAAAGAGTATAGTAGTGTCCGACGACCGACATTATCGATCGGGTCTCACAGAGCACAGAATACTGAAACTCGAACAGATCCATTTGATTGATCGACCCTAATGACCCGGTTCGTAAAGCCGGCTATACATGTTGACCGAGCGAAGGCGAGCACCAACGTATAGACAGCCCATTTGTATAGCCTCGCCATTGCTCGTCGACGCTCTCTTATCTGGCCTAGTGCAGACGAGCGCATACGTGTATACAGTTCCTTTGGCGTGCCTTGCCGCCACTGCGGGATCGTTCGCTACGACTCTACGACTCGTCCACTTCTGAACAGTGTCGGTTTTTCTGCACAAATCAAAGGCACTCGACAAGTCTCGTCCAAGTCTGCCATATCAGTTACAGCTTGGTGTGAGATGTTGTTTTAAGTAGTTGCAAGTTCAAATATTTCGACAATGTCACTGCTTCTTTTTTACAACTTTACTGCGTAGTACACTGACATATGCACTCATTAAATAAATAGCAGAAGCTGCAATAACTTCTACGTCGTCCATATCGTTCCAATTCTCAATGAAAACTAATTACGTCCAACATGTCGATAGCCCCACAAACACTCGTGAACATTGGCAGTTGGCATTGGTCTCTTTCGAACTTGACCAACGTGTAGACTGTAGCACTCGCCTTGTATCAATTTGCCTACGCTCGCGTTGTTTGAGGCTTGGCCAACATGTTGTATTGCCGGGAAAAGCCGAAGCAATACTTGAATGACACAGGTCTATAACGCTATCAGGCAATGAACGATTCTCCAACAACGTATGTTAACGTTATTAGGAAATCTGACAATCTGTTTCGTTTTATGGAGTTTGCCAGATGAATTTAGAAATAAAGAAAACCTAGAATGATCATTGGGGTATTATCTTTAATTTCTGCAAATAAAAAAATAAACATGCACTTACGCTTTGTTGGCAACATCGCTGACCAAGCTTTATGTTTTTTTCATGTTCAATCGAAACAGTTTCGATTGAACATGACGAAACAATGAGTGAAATACAATTGCACTAATATAGCCAATGTTAAAAGTATAGTATAGTAACAATGACTAAAAACCATTATTATGGTGATGTTGTGACATGGCTGTTTAATAAAAATACTACAACTTTCATCTGTTTACATAAATAGATCATGGATAAACGGCTGGATCCTTTCGAAGTTAAATTGTAAGCACCTTTGTAATCCATATTAACATTTATTTAAGCGAGATTCAAACCCGCGGCCCAGCAGCAGCGCCTCAGTCAAACGCTAAGCTACTTAACTACTGAGTTCACTACAATTAAAAATCTAATGAAAATAACATTTTAGACATATTTGTACCAACCATCATCGGTCATCATCGGATATATGCATCGGTTCAAATATAAATAAGTATGTTGACATCATCTTATCTAAAAGTTTGCATATTATTGTTGTTTTATAGCTATTTTTATCGTTACTCCTGCTTTTATTAAAAACAGTTGTATAATGTATATTTTTATACTAAATTATTAATTTATATAAACTGGAGAATGATTGAGATAATCGAAAATGTAGATTATCGGGCAAATTATGTACTTATTATATTATAATTTTTCTCCCATAAGACGGAAAGTTAGTCGTTTGACATATGTTATGAGTGTTTATTCCCGAGACTTTACACAAGTATATAAGCTAGTTATGCTTATCGACTAGTGGGAACATAAAATATATAGCCGTAATCGTTTATTAAACAAATCGATTAGCTTTAATACTGTTTAATTTGTAATCTGATAAAAAAAATATGTGACGATAAATATAATAATTGGTGCCATTAAGATTTGCGGCCTTGTAATCGTTGATTATCGCATTAAATATTAATTATCTCTATTCCTGTCTATCTATATTCAGTGAAATTTCTGAAATTGTCATCGCCCATGTATAATTATGATCGTAGATTTGTATGAAGTTTATCTATTAAAATGTCTATTTTATGGGAAAGATCTACTTATGTAATAATTTTTCAATTATAGATGTATAAATAAATTTTTTTTTCATTTATTACCCATAAAATTGTACAATTATTAATACACATTGAACACAGCGCAAACCACTGAGGTTTAGTTGCTGTGCTTGCGTTCGCTGTGCTTAAAAAAAAGAAGAAACAAAGTTACTATACATATTCATATAACTATTCGATCTTTGCTGTCCAAAGAACTCACTAGAAAAATCTTCAGTTTGTTTTTTATATTTTTTTCATTAACAGAGTTCCTAAACTCAGGATCCAATTTATTTATGATTCTTGGAATCAAGTATTCAGCAGTGCGTCTGCCGTAAGTGTTCCGCGCGGCTGTCGTGACCAACTTGCCGCGAGTGATCGCTCGAGTACCCTTATTATGATCCACTTTTATTTTAATAGAATTATTAAAAAATTCTTCCTTAAGAAGTTGGAGTATGAACTGGTCGTGCACGGGTAGTACGTTGTGATATTTAAATAATTGTATTTCATTTGACGAAAACTGTCGTTTTATGTTAGGTGAGACCACTTTTTTTAATATTCTTATTTGAAGATTATATATCCTATCCTGATATGACTTGAAAGTTCTCCCATAACTGGATAGGCCATAGCTGACTATAGTTGAATATTTGCCGTATTGTGAAATACAGTTTAAAAATGCTCGAAACAATTTCGTGGCCTCTGATCGACGGAATAAATTTATACGTGGTAGAGCCATGTTGCAGCTATATTAATAGTATAGTTGTAGCACGAATGGGTCGGCTCGACCGGGGAAGGATCACGCTCTCACAGAATACCAGCGTCAAATAGCAGCTTAACACTGCTGTGTTTCGTATGGTGAGTGTAGAGAATCGGAGACCCTTTTTACTGGAAACGAGGCATTCCATCTTAGTCCTCACGGGTGGCAACGCATCTGCATTTTGATTCGCAAACGAGGATAGATGTAGATGTCTATGAGCCACAGCAGCCACTTACCATCAGGTGGACTGTGTGCTCGTTTGTCACCCTATACTATAAAAAAAAAACGTATGATTTGATAAGGCAATTGAAAAAAAATATTGGCAAACCACCTGCAAAGCTTGACGATCATGGAAAATCCTAAGAGGACTTTAACTTTCTATTCTTCATCAGCCAGTAAAAGACCATTGCTGTCCACTCCTGTTGTAAGGAAGATATGCTTCAATCATCAAACTTAGCTGGCGGATTGACTATCGCAGTACCAGACGCCCTGCACATTTGACGCTGCTACTCATAGCCGCTACGGATATTTTATGTCCAGCGTAAACGAGATGATCTATCGCCATTTGTCGTAAGGGATGGCGTAGTGCATATTCCACCGTAACTACACACTTTAGTACACGGTCATATTTAAGATTAAAAATACGCATTGAATAAATCTATTTTTAAGGATTTATTTTTTAAAACCTTTACTAATTGCTTTCCAAACAAAAAACAATTGATTGCTAGTCTCATGATTATGTTATTTCGATATATCTGATAATGGCTCCTTCATATTCTCTATCATGTTACAAATTATTATTGATCACATCTCATTGATCATTTACAGGGGTAAAAGTGCTATGTAAACTTGGTTATTCTCTTTTTCAGTTGGTATATTTTCATACCTCTATTTTAATACCTAGATTTATAGTTGCCATATATTTAAAAGTAACGACATAGAGCTTCCTTTCATTTCTAAAAATCTTGTTTCAGAGGTCTTACGAATGTACTGAATGAACGCGGTAGCCTCAATATGTACCAAAGTGGGGAGTCACTCATGCGGATGTCACCACCGAGCCTTGTGTCTTCTTTGCTAATGGAAAGTTCTGGAACATTCAACTCTGAGTCATTAGAAAGTAGAAAATCTATGCCATCATACAAGGACTCAGGTAATTAATGATGTTAAATTGTCCTTTAGGCTTGCTTTCTTTAGAATTATTCAAAAATTATGAATTAAATAATGTTTAGTAGTGACATTAGGTGACAATTATCTAGAAAGCGTCTTGATATGGAGAGGTATATATCCTTTGATGGATTATAAAGTAGTTAAATCACAGCATGTTGATGCATGAAGTACCTGTCCACGTTGTTATACCATGTTGACATTCATTTTAACATAAAGCCTATACTATTTATTGCCAAATGGCAATGTGTTTTTTAAATCTGATCAGGCTACACATTGTAAATTTGTTAAAAATGTAAGTTAGTTATTAAAATATCAGATTTAGCTGCAAATATCAATAATAAAATATATATATTTCAGGTTTACCAACGTCAGGTCGCGATAGCATCGATCCAATGATGACCAGCATGACACTTAGCATATTAGATGAGAAAGATATGAGCACTAGTTTTCTATCACAGACAACCTACCCTGACAATGACAGTCTATTAGACTCATTGCCGCCTAGCTTAGTCAGTTCAGTCAACTCCTCATACGTTGTCAATACGTCTAAAACAAAGTCGGACACTGCAGACGCAAATATATTTAGTTCAGCAACCTTCACTCACTTAGAACAATCAGAGAGATTGTTGTCAGCCCGACCCAGATGCCAACTCTATAACAGTTTCACAAAACGCGACTCTGGTATACGAAATACGGAAAGCTATACGAAATCTAGAGAAGAGGCTTGTCAGAGCCAGATAAACCAAGTTAAAGTACTGAATGAAAATACCGATAAAGTAGATGCACCTAAGCTAGCAAAACCCAGTGAAATGAGTGAAACAATAACACTGCATTATTCAAACAGTAAATACAAGCACAACGATGCGGAAAAAGAGAATCTGAATGAAACATTCAAAACTGATGATGCGTTCTTCAAAGACAACTATATGCAAAAAACTGTGGATTCGGGAAAGAATATTCTCAACATGACTTTAGATAAACAGGAGTTGAACGAAATTAAACAAGCTCGTCAGAAGCTGTCATTAGCGAGGAAAGGATTGCCAACTGAACCCGACAAACCTTTGCCAAACCAAGTTGACACATCACCTATTAAAACAATACAGCTACCTAACCAAATAATAACAGTGCCACGGCAGAGTATGGAGAATGTTTCGGAAGCACTGGCAAAGAGGAGATCCATGAATTTGAACAACTACGAGAAACAAGAAGAACCAACAAGAGAGACGCCGAAAAGGAACGCGACGTTTAGGAAAGTGTCGCCTAAACATAGCGCAATGGACACAACTGTTGTGTACGTTAAAGCGGACGAAAACCAAATGATTGATATCAATTCTGCTACTATGAACCTTATTGATGCCGGTGAAAAGACTTTGAAACAAGACGTGAGTATTGAAATTATGTTAAGTGGTTCTTTTAAATAGGTCAAAGAGAAAAAACAAATTTATAAAACATTGTAAGTTCTTATGAAAATGATTCGTAAGGTGTATGCTATTGGTTTAATAGATTTTATTGCTAAAGAAAATTAAAGGGATACAGATCACACTAAAAACTAACCAATTTCTTTTAGAGAGCGTTTATTTCGAATTTAGCATAACACTGAATAATATATAAATGTGAGATGCTCCAGTTTATAAAACATAATATCCACAAGTCAGGTTAAGGTCCACAAATGGCACAAATTTTACCTTAAGTCACTTATGACACATTTTGGCTGGTTGCAAAACTGTTTTTGAAATTCACATATGCCAGTTGTACAGAAAAATTGAGAACCTGGTATATCCTTGTTCTAACATAAGTACTTATTGTTGTCAGGAATGGGGCTCTCAAGAGCGGGCCATGGTTGGGTCTAGCGAAAGTACGGACACCGGCACGTTCAGTTCCTCCAGCCCTCCTGACAGCGTGCCCGATACAGCCGTACACACGCACGATCGTAAGTTGCCCGACCATCTTATGCTATTTTTATTGATAGTAAAAATATATTAATTACTAATGATTTTCTGTAAATGACACTAAGTCAGTCTTAATCTAAGTGTGTAATCATCATATCTAAAAATGCCAAACCTAAAATATACATCTCTACTATAGAACAAAAACATATCCAATCCATCAGCGGCTGTCCACGACACAATTTTAAAAGCTATCTTAGCCTATTTCCCATCATACTTAACCAATTAACCATGATGACCTAATGTGTTCCAAATTTAGACGCACCCCAAAGATTTCTTGGCTTCCATTTTCCATGTTAAATGTTTAAAATATCTTCTGTTGTTGAAGGAGTTGCTAAGATTGCCACATTTAGCAAATCGGTTAGCGATTGCAACACGAGCTGCTTCACACCTCTGAGGCCCTCCCTGTCGCTGGTCTTTATGTTTGGTGTAGATGAGAGAATTATATTCCCGTCTGGAACAAAGGGATCTTTCTGTTGTTTCTTAAAGTTGCTTGGACATTTATTTATTACATTTAATTTTATAGAATAAGGGTGACAAATGAGCACATAGTGTACCTGATGTTAAGTTGATTCTATGGCTCATTGATATCTTACATCGATTAAGAATCAAAAAGCAGATGGGTTGTCACCCCTGAGGACTAAGGTGGAATAATTCGTTACCAGTAAAGAAGGTCTTCGGTTGTCTTTACTCACCATACGAAACGCTGCTTGCGATCTTTTGTTTCACGCTGGTATTCTGTGAGAACTTGGTCCTAACTCAGTCGGGCCAACACATACATGCTACAGCTATGAATAGCTAGCATAACTACAGCGTGGCTCTACCACGTATAATTGATACAATATACAGATTCAAATAATACAGCTTAATTTATAACGATTTACAAAATTGATTATAATCTTCTAGAAAGACTAACGACTTTATATTCTACCTTCGACTATTTACTTTTACATGCCTATAATTTGTAATACTTATACTTTCTTATAAAATAGATATCTTGCTTCCTTTATTTTGTCTCTGTATTCTACATGTTTATCTCAATTACTCATTTTGTTTATTCAACACACTTTATTTATTTACTTAATCTTTATATACCTGATTTATAGATGGACAAATCGCCTCAACACCGCTCATGGCATTAAAGAAAGGCTCCAAAAGCGAATTATTGAATCTGCATACAACTATATCGCCTATATACGACATGATCGATGACAAATCGTACACCCTAATGAAAGCACAGAGCTCTGGAATGGAACAAACCTACAACCTTCATAATACAACAGTAATAAACAGCGCCACTATGGTTAAAAAGAATTCAGCCAAACGGGACATTTTGGCGGGAAAAACAAGTCCCGAACAAAACATAGCACCTGGTACTACGGTCAAATCACCGACTAATCGAATTCCTCCAACTAATATAGGTAAGACGAGTTATAATGATAACTTATTTTGATCAGACAAAACATAAACAGCAAAGTTTGGACATTTAACATGAAAATGACATATCCGTTTGGGATATGGTTCCAGTATCTCCTCATCAGTCCGTAATTAGATCAGTAGTGGATATAGGTCATATGGGCTATAGTAGGGACAAATTGGCAGGTGGATTGGCGATACCAGACATCTTGCAGCACTGACGCTACTTTTTTTATAGGAGAGGGGGCAAACGAGCATGCGACTCACCTTATGGTAAGTGACTACCGCCGCCCATGAACAACTGCGACATCAGGGGAATGAAGATGCAATGCCGGCCTTTTAAAAAGGAGTAGGCTCTTTTCTTGAAGGTCCCTAAGTCATATCGGTCCGGAAAAATCGCTGGTGGTAATCGATTCCACAAGGAAGTTGTGCGAGGGAGAAAACTTCTTCTAAATCGCACAGTGGTGGACCGCCAATCATCCAGATGGTATGGATGGTATCGCGAGTTTTGTCGCGATGTGCGATGGTGAAATTGAGCGGCTGGAATTAGTCCGAACAATTATTAATTATTCCTATCGTCGATCTGAGTATAACACCTGTTATAAATACTATGTTATTATAAGTCTTAAACGTCCATTTACGTGATTAAGGGATGTGGATTCTCTTATAACGAAAGCCCATAGCTTGATAGGGACGGGGATGATGAGACTGAGATTAGCCCCATAGTGACGTTACGAAGCCGGGTTCGTGAGTGCTGAGTGGTTACCCTGTATTCGAAACTGGCTTGTAAGATTTGTATTCGGCATTTCTCACCTAGATTTTCTGCCAGAGGCAGGCAGGCCCTCTAACATCTAAAAGGTTACAAATTAAATTTATAAGATTCAGTCTCTTTTGTTCATCAATTTTGCTTGTATAAATTATATTATTAAATTGATTATTTTTATTATATAACTACATAAAATATTTTAAAAAACAACAACAAAAGAATTTATAAAAAGAAAGTTACATAAAACCTCTTTGTTCGTGTATCATTTGTTAATATAGTGACACTAAAGACAGTATTGATCCTACACAAATAGTTAAAGGGCCATATATCGGAAACTATAACACTCGCCAAATTTTATTTTGCCCCAGTCAGACCTTGGTCTAGTTACGCACATAGCTCAGTTTGACGTCGCTTGTTGCGACAATTACTAACAAATATTTATGACAAAAAATATGTTTTTTTAATTTTCAGGATCGTATAGTTCAATGGCCCCACCAACAGTAGTTCCGAGGAAAACCGGCTTGCCAACATCTAAATTAAGACAATATAGTTCACATAAAGAGCTTAACAGGATACCAGGTAAAATAGATGTTGTTATATAATTATATAATTAATTTATTATTATTTTAAAATAACCTAAGTCTATTCTATTGTTGAGTACAGACGTCTTTAGTTTTGAGGGGATAAAAAACAATAGAATAATTATTTTTATTCAATATTTGTTATTGACTTATTGAAAGTTATTTTTTGCTTTTATCACTGGTTTGGAAATATCTGTTCTGGGTAGAACCAGTCATAAACGGAGCTGCACTTTTTTTTTTAAAAAATCAGATTTTAAATCAAACAAGTGTAGGCGTACAATTACTTATAAAAATTCATATATTCTGGGACTTACTTTAAAAACATTTGTTATATATGTTTATACATTAAATTTCCGACTACTCGTCAGGCATACCTCAAAATTTAAAAACAAGATTGTACAACCAGTGCTGACTTATGGATCTGAGACGTGGTCCTTCACTACTGGCCGTATGAGGAAAATCATGGTCGCTCAACGAGCTATGGAGAGGGCTATTCTCGAAGTTTCTCTGTGAGATGGACTGAAAATGAGGATATCTCCAGTAGAATCAAAGTAACTAACATAGCCCAACGTTAATTATAATAAGAAAAATTAGTAAGCTGAAGTGGCAATGGGCTGGCCGTATAGATTGAAGAACCGACAACCGATGGGAAAGAAATGTTCTCGAGTGTCAACCTCGTACCGATAGGTGAAATGTAAGGCGTTTCCGTATTAGATGGAGCAACGACCTGGAAAGAAACGCAGGAAGTCGATAGATGCAGGTGGCTCAGGACCGTGCTTTGTGGCGTTCCTTGGAGGAGGCCTATGTTCAGCAGTGGACTTGTGAAGGGCTGTAATGATGATGATGATTAAATTTCCATAAATATATTGAGAGATTATAGGGCAAGATAAATTCTCTCAGACATGCTGGTTTCGTCACGACGTTTCCATTCACCACGGAACACGTGACAAATCAGTACCTTACATTACGATTAACAAATTCAAAAATTATGTTTTCCTATAAAATTTAAAGCGAGCAAGCAATCAGTGTTTATAAAACAAACAACCTTGAGCTAATAGAGATCATACACAAAATGTTCTATGCACTTCTAAATTATTGGACTAATTCTCTTTGTTTCAGGCGGAAATATAAGCGGCATGTCAGCACCGAGAACATTGGTGGGGCGTACGATGGTGCGCCGCGGGGTGTACGCTTCAAACCCCGCGCTCAGTCCCACCGCCCCCACGGCCCCCGCCTACCCCACGCACACAATCTCGCACCCAACCAAACTCACGCACCCATCACCATTTACGAACCCAGCACCGCCTATACGGAGAGACTCGTATACTGTAGCTGTTGATCAGGTTCAATATCTTATTATTAACAAAAAATTATCTTAAGCAACTTGAAAAATCTAAGCTTGATTAAATCTAACCATCCAACCAACATCAACCAACTTAGTCGGTTTAGGAATTTGAGAAAAAATTAAGTATTTTAAAGTTTTTGTGTCAAAAGGGACCGTTGAAAAAGAAAAGGAAATGAATTATTTTTCACTGAATATATTCCTTTACATGTGGTTTAATTAGAAAATATTACCTGTATTCTTAGAATCGTAAGAATTTTCAATCTGTAGTTTATATAAATAAATAATATAATTCCGTTGTTAATAATGGATGTATTTACTTTATTCAAGTTTTAACATAACATTCATCATCATCATTATCATTACAGCCCTTCACTAGTCCACTGCTGAACATAGGCCTCCCCAAGGAATGCTACAAAGCATGGTCCTAAGCCACTTGCAACCATTGACTTCCTACATGTCTTACCAGGTCGTCACTCCATCTGGTGGGGGGTGCCCTACACTTCGCCTACCGGTACGAGGCTGCCACTCGAGAACATAATATTATAAAAAGATAATTACATATACTTAGCTTATTTACAATTTTTATATAATCTTCTACGTAATGTTTTTTGGAAATTTGTCATGTGAAGTTATGCTTTGACCTTAAAATTAGAAAATAAATAATTTTCAAATAATGCTACCATATTAGTGTAATACAATGTAATAGCAGTTGAAAAATTTCTTAATATTATGATTATACTCGAGTCCTCTTACTTGAACTGCACATATTCAAACCCTTGATTATGTGTTAGAAACTTCCTCAAGACACTTGTTTACTCCGCGAAGCCGCAAGAAATTGACATTGAATAGGTATCATTTCACATTACATACGCTTGCAGAATCTCAATGTAAATGGTCATCGCACCAGCAGATAGATATATTTGCTTACAACGACAAATTTTTTTGGTATCTGTCATTGTATTTGTATTACAGCAAGACTCAATAGTAGATTAATTAACTTATTAATGCTTTTGCTTTTAGTCATTCAAATAACTGACGTATTGATTTCTCGTAGAAAACTATCCTTGGTTCTGCTTGCTTTAGCAACTATTTTGGGGGAACTTAGTGATATTCCTGCTATACTATTTCATATTAACGTGAGAAATTATTGAAAAGCGTATCTTTTTATGTTTAAATAAACGGCTAATACAATAATTGCTAAACGCGAGCCTCTCCCTGAAAGAGAGAACTTATCGTAAATGCAATGCTGTCAGACAGAGATGGGGACATACTTCGTGCTTCATTGATTTTGTTCCCATTCATTGGTCTATGTAATCTTATAGTGGCGGCTTTAGGGAATCCACTACCCCATATCATCTCCTGGGTGTCATAAGGGACGGCAGAGGGAACTGAAACAAGAGATGGGCAGCTTCTCTGCATCTCAGTATCTTCCTGATAACAAATCAAAATAATAAAAACAGCGATGCCAAGCGTGGAAACTATGACAAACCTTTAGAAGCAATGATCACCAGCGGACTTTTGATATATTTGAGGCAGCTTACGTTTACATTGATTATTTCGGCATTTTTGGACGTTACAAAACAAAATCTTTCTTGTAGATTGTTGATTATTATGACATAAAGAACGAGATAGAACAATAAATTCTTTAGGATTTTTAACCCTATTTCTGATTTATTATAACATAAAGAAGGTTGGTCAAATCGTACCAGACGACGAAACGATGGCGTCACTATATGCCATATTTATGATAAATATCCTTATTTTTTAAGGTCTTAAAAAACACTAAAAATACCTATCTAAGTAGCCACAAAAAAGTTATCCTTTTATTTTTGTTTTTGTAACTGATCCGAAATTACTTAAAATAATGGTTTCAGAACGCACTGGAACGCACCTAATGACGATTTATTTCGCGTATGAAAGGACTTTGTATTCAAAGACTATAATTATTCACGTTTTTTTGAATAGTTGTTAATTGTAATTCAATTCAATTAGTATTTAGGCATCAAATCAACTACTATACTGATTTATTATGTACTGGATTCATGTAAAAAAATAATTATGTAGCTTCATAGTAAGCTAAGCGTTTTGTTCAATTACGTACAACGGAACATCATTTGTCATCGACAAGTTACATAATCTGTGGTCATCGAACAACACCATTCATTATCACCCGGCAATCATTCGCATCATCTTATTTGCTTCACTCGTTGTTGTGGATTGTGATACGTACTGTACTATTTAAGATTTCCTTCTGTTGTTTTGACCTCGGCATTGTTTTACGGACTGATAACTACCAATTGTAACGATTATTTTATGCTTTTGATTTCTGGACACCGATTTTGCATCTTGGATATTTGTGAGAGACATCATGCAGACTACAGCTACACAACAAGGACAACTAGCCCTGCGATTGCTATGTGTTAATTGTAACATATGCATTGATATACTTCGCCGCCATCTCGATTTTGAGCTTGATACCAGAGTAATTTTTAAGATCTGCGAGTGGAATTCTTCAATAATAATACATATTTACATACCTACTTTTTTTTTACATTAATATAAACCATCACACACAATCGTACATCATAATACAAATCGAATTCTTATTTCAGATCACTGAAGAAGATTACATATGTGATGCTAACCTCAAAAGTATTGTTGACATTATTATAAAAAATTGTGGCTATTTAGATAGGATTTTCAAACGGGATGGTGTTTACAACATAAAAATAAACCAATCTAGCTATAGTTTGTTTTGGGACATGAAAAATAAAAGTCTAGTCCAGCTCCTATAGAAATTTGGCCATTGTTCTTTGTCCGCCTAATGTTAGCTTGTGTGTTTGTCTGATGCAGTTGGTTGCAGAAGCCTATTGCAAACATAGATGAAAAGCCACACAATCTGAAATCTAAAGTATCATTGGGGAGCTTCGTAAAGTGCGACGCGGTCCCGTCAAATTCTCCCCACTGTTTAGACGAACTATGTTATGATCTCATTTATCTGTTTTTGACAGAATCCTCCAGATGAGAAGGACAAACAGACACAAAAGCCCTCTGTGCCCGCATTAGTACGACAAGGTACAGAAACTCTGCGACGTGAACGGCCGCAGAGTCAACTCGTCGCACCCAGAGATGTGAGCGAACAGGTTTATACAACTTTTTGTACATAGTATGGGATAACGTGCTTTTTAATTCGTATTTGCTTGCTTTTTTACTCAAGCCTGATTTCACAGAGCTAAATTTTGACTCATTCCAAAGTGAAAACACGCTTTTTCTAATAACAAGTAACATTTTCATTTCACCAACAACTACACTCATATTTCACTAATTATTCGCGTTAATTCGTATGCGGCCAAATTCGGTCGTAAAAATAGCGTCTTTACAACAGCCTGGGTTAATAGATGTTATGTAATAATGCTAACTTTTAAAGAGGTCGTGGAGAGGGGGAGAGGGGAGGTGCAATGGCTGCTACATGCACATTTTTATAGCTGTAATTTTACACATTTATTGTTGTGTAGTTTTATTATAGGATATGCTTTGATTGTCTATGGGTCTATTCCTGTTTTTGAATGAAATATTATAATATTGGCCTTTTTCGATAATGACTTAAAGGAGGATACGTGCAGATTTTTGTTTGCCGTCTTTTCGGACAAATGATCCTAATTTTGAAACGTTGGTAGATTAAAGAACATGTTTAGGTTTGTCAAACGTAATTAAAATTTCTTATGTTATCATTTCATTGCATTTAATGAGCAGAAATAAGCAACACTAATTTTTGCTGACAAATTAGGAATGTTACCGAGTACTAATATTTTCTATTAATTAACCCTAGAAATTTACCTCATAACAAAACGTAATAAATTTATGATCGGGAATAGCGTTGGACTATCTTATGCTATGTTTTAATAACAAGCGATGAGGTCTGTATTTATAGATAATATACTCTAATCTATGGCTGTTCATAATCATATAATTATTACGTTAAGTATTCATTCGTTCATGAATCCATTTACAGAATAATCAAGAGTAAATTTTGTCTCGGATTAGTATAGTGAAAAACAAATGCGTGATATACATAGATTAAAATCTGAATTGTGTAGTATTACTATTATCGTAAAGTAGTTCTGTTTAAAAAGACGTTTTGTGTTTTTTTTTTGTTGTGTGTGTTGTTTACAACGTGGTCACTAATTTTGCTTATAGTTTTAAAATGCTTATTTACATGTTTTACACATACAATGGATATCTGTTAGTGATTTTCTTATAATGATGTATAATAATTCGCTCAAGTGGCAAAAGCGATTGTCGAAAAATTCTCTTATTCTGCATTATTTTGATAGTTTTCTTCTTTCCCAACATATTTTTATTGTGAAAGAAACTGCTTGATACGGGCCTTTCCGTGTGAGCTGAATGAAGAAGGATTAGTTTGATATATAACATTTTATAAGTAAATATGATGCCTTTTTTTTTTCTTAAATTCTAACTCATTTGAACAAATTCACGTACACCATAGACTTGAAATTAATGATTCAAAATCTTAATGCAAGTTTGTTCCGAAATCTACATCAACATCAACATTACTATCATTTAGAATAAAACCACAAAAGCGGGGTCCACTCCGTATAAATTTCTACATTTAAGTGTACATTGTAAATGGTAGTGTTATTTCAATCGCCAGTAATTAGTTAGAGATGTGTGAACACAACATACACTATTACGTCAACTGTCGAATGTCAAATTCGATTTTAATCGGATTGCAAAAGTGAACGATATACAAGTCGGACTAGCGACCCTAGCAAATATTTGATAAAACTTGTCAGAGCCGACAAAAATCAGATGCATACTGTGTTCTGTCCAGCGCTTGTGTTTTTGTCGGGTCCGACAACACCGACAAAAGGGCCATAATGAGTCAACGTGAAAATACTTTTTTGAATGCAATTATTACTCACACAAAATGGTGGGTATACTATTTTTTATGTGTCCTATATCAACCCTAAAATAATTTAGCATTGAACTCAACTTTAGTTGATTTTTAATTGCATGTGATGGTGGATTTTGATTTTATTGTTATAGGAAATTAATTTCGAAAATAATGGTTATTTACAGAATTATTTCTAAGGTGATGGTTCCGTTTTATAATTCGTTTATGTAAATGTGGTTATATTATTAACCTCCTTTTCAGTTTAATTGTGACTAAATATTTATTTTTACATTTGTTTTAGTACCGTTCTGTTGCTTTTGTAATTGTGAATAAAAATCATGATACTAAAGTATTTGAGCAAATTGTTATTAATTGCATCCATTTGTTATGTGGTATCAAAGGCAGCTTTGGACATTATTATTTTTTAAATATAAGCAAATATTATGTGGGCAGTATATGTATAATTTATTAGGAGACGTGCGGCAGCTAGTGGCGATATTCCATATAAGCCAAAAAGCCCGACATTACCTATTAAATGCATTACACTGAACGTAAAATGATTATGAGATAGTATTTAAATTTTCGCGCGCTTTAATATTTTAAAGACTTCAAACGTTGTATGGTCAACAAAGTGTCAACGACCCACAAACGCAACCTTTTATATCCTTTAAAACTATCTTTGTTTTGCAAACGCGTATAACCGCACCTTTCTAACTTATACAAAAACATACATATAAAGTAATCACTGTGGTCGCTTAATGCAGGATTAGGGCGCTTATGTACAACACGTTAATTTTATTGTCCTGAATATCATGCCATTGGTCCCACCCATCGGCAGTAAACACACGGATGTACGCTTGTGCACTACACTTAATTTTACTGTCCGTAATGTCATGTTATAGGGGGGACTATATAAAAAAAATCTACGGTTATCTATTACATATTGTGTTCCTAAGCTGCCTTAATACCCTCTGTCTTGTATGTGTCCGTGATTAACAATCGGTGCTTGCTTGTTTGTGTGCGTGCGTGCAGCTTCGGACGTCTGGAGTGCACACGAGCAGCAGCGGGGTGCGGTTGCCTGTGCGGAATCACTATATGCCTGTGAGTGTCTGCGTTTATACAACGTACTTAGTGTTTATCGGTATAAAGAAAGTTACAAATTATTATCGTCAGTCCGAAAACTACCATAATTAAGAAGAATACGAACACGTACGTAAGAGAACACGTCACGAACCCAAGTGGCAAGCGCCTTGGTGATTGTGTTTCTTCGTTTGGTATTTACGAAATGGCTATTTATTTCGTCATCCATTTATTTAAAAAAATCATCTTTAAAAATACATTAAAATTAGTCAGTCTTAATAATTTTATTGATTCAAAGTTAAAAAGTAAGTTGGAGGCTAACATAGTAGTCTGTTTGGAAAGAGAACTGGCCTAGAAATTGAGGACGCTCGGGTATCTAAATAGCATTGACATAGTTCTTATCATTAAATCGACTATAAGACATAAGATATATAGGTACTATAAAATGAAATGATGTTGGTAGTTTTGTTATTCACGACCTCCAATGCTAGGTAACCTCCTATTGGATGGAGTGACGACGTGATGAAGTACGCAGGTTGTATTTTGTGGCAATTTACGAGGACCTCGCCCATAGACACTATGTTCAGCAGTGGGTAATGTTGATTATTTTTAACTATTTATAATAATAAATGTATTTTAAAATCTATATGCTCTCCGCCACTAAGGTTCTTTCTCCCAACTACTCTACACATAAGTTATGCACATACTTTAAAAATATGTGAAAGACGTAAAGTTTTCACTAAATAATAGGTGATCAAAGTTTAAGAATAAACACTTTAGATATTAGATTGTTGTTTAATATTTTTATAGAGAAGTAATAAAGCATATAATAGTACATACAGTCTTTAGGCAATTTCAAGCAACTCTTAACACATACGCCTACAGGTACGTAGTCATCTGTAGCCTTATTTGTTTGAAGTTTATTATACTGGCTGTCCTTACGATTTATATAAGAACACAGCAGTGTATACATTTCCGCTCAACAGTAAAAATAGGAATCTATAAAGAGTCCTGTCTCTTAGGATCAATTTAATTGATGTGTTTTCTTATAGGATAAGGGTGACAAGCGAGCACACTGTCCACCTGTTGGTAAGTGGTTGCTGTGGCTCCTTGCAATCTACTTCTATCTTCGTTTACGAATCAATATGCAGATGCATTGTCACCCGTGAGGACTAAGATGGAATGCCTCGTTTCCAGTAAAAAGGGTCTCCGGTTCTCTACACTCACCATACGAAACACAGCAACCTTAAGCTGCTATTTTACGCTGGTATTCTGTGAGAGCGTGGTCCTTCCCCGGTCGAGCTGCCTCATTCGTGCTACAACTATACTACTAATATAGCTGCAGTATGGCTCTACCACGTTCAAAATGGGTTGAGTTTGATGTTATTTGATTTTGTGTATTTCTTCAATGTTATGGGTTATGGAATCTTGCATGGATGTATTAGATGTATAAATTATGTTGTAATTAAAGAAATTGTAAGGTATCATATTCGAATAAGATTCTTGTTATTTCCAGCCACCGTCGCGCGCTTACTCAATAGCGGGCGCGACACAAACGCGTGTTTCAAGGCCGACGTCAGTTCCGACGCAGAGACCTGTCGCAGGTTTGTGAGAAATTAAATTTATAATTAAGAAAGTCACGCCTCAATTCTTAACACAGAAGGAGAAGCTATAGTCTCAAATACCATTGCCGTAACAAACTATGAAAAACCCACTGCTGAACATACGCCTCCCCCATAAGTTGCCGCACACATTGGTTGGTTTATTACGTATTTTCATATCACTAATTTTTAACTACATATATTTAAAAAAAAGTAAAGGTTTTAATATACAGATATGAAATAGGTATTCATTTCGGTTATTGATTAGTCATTTGTGGATTCAGTTCCAGTGTCCGAGTCCCGTTTAGGGACAGGAGCGGAGTCGAGGGTATCTGCTCTGCCCAGACCCTCGCGGTTACCAGCGCCGAGGCGGGGTCTCAGGTAAGTTTTACATAAATACAACCTATTGTACATTTCTTATAACAACTGTAACTTTTGTTGAGAATAAAAGCTTGCATCACCTGACATTTAATTCTGTAAATATAAAATGTATTAATAACTCGCCCACAGTAACGCGTTTTGGGTTGTTGTAATTTTCGTTTTTGTCATTAAACCACCATATTGTAAATATGAATCATTTTGATCCATAAATATAGATTTTTAAAAAACTGGACAACAGCGCCACAAACAAACCCCAAACCACAATCAGACAGAGAGCAAAATTGATAAAATAAATAGTCTGATGATTATTTTAATTCTCAATAACACAACATTAATACATCCTAGTTAAGCGAAGCCGAAGCGGATCACTAGTTATAATTAAAGTTTGTTGTCTATTCTAGAATGTGACTAGTTTTACTACTGCAATATCGCTTAATATAATGCTTACTTTGGGAAGAAAGTTTCTCGAATGGCAGCTTCGCACCGGTAAGAGAAGTCTAGGCGGCCCTACACTAGATGAACAGTTTAGGTGGCTCAGGAGCTTTGTGGAATTCATATAGCATCAAATGTAGATTTGTAAAGCCCGGCTTACACTTAACAACATTATCAAGTAACAACTATACTAGAATTATTTTATCCGTGCAGTTTGTGTCATAAATCATCGGAGTATTTCGCTCTCTCTCCCACTCACGGGCCTTAGAGCCGAGCATAGTGATGCGCATTATTGTTGTCGATAAGCGTTATCGATAGTGTATTTAGTTTTGTCATTATGTGGGTTAGTGATAAAAATGAAAAAAAAATAGATAAAACAACTTATTTATTAAAATAAGAATAATAATGATTTAAAATAAATTATTAATGTATCTAGGTATTAAAAAACTATAAGTACAAATGTTTGGAATGTAACAAGTTATATTAAAAATAAATATTATTTAAAACAAAACAAAGGTGTAGCCATTGTGTCACTAAAGAAATTCAGAGAGCGAATGCGCAAAAACAAATTTCTCTTCTTTCTACTAAATTATCATTGCACTAATTTGCAGGTATTAGGTGGGGGCAATAATAGAAAACAAATGACTCATAACGTAACAATGTCGCACTAACCTTTGTATACCGCACCGCCACCGTGTACCTGCCTTCGATGATTCATTTGTTGTTATCGATAATGGCGTTGCGCCCGCGCAACATGCTCACCGCCCTAGCCGGGCTGAGGCCGAGCTATGATTTATGACCCCAACTGCACGGACAAAATAATTTTACTATAGCAATTAGGTGTTCACAGACGTGGCAATTAGATATGCAGTAAGGTCATTATTACGAGGGCTGCACTAAAAGTATCGGGAATAGAATATTTCCACTGTTCCTGTCATATTAAAATCTTTTTAATTGAAAACTCCTTGATTTTAAAAATCGAATACCATTTATTTATTTAAAAAAAAGATTCTCGGTCTTGCCACAAGGTTTTATCAAACTTGTTTAGTCGTTGAGAAAATGGAATTGACTCGAGAAAATTCAAGAGCGATGATTTATTATGACTTTCGAAGTGGTTTAACACAAAAACAGTGTGTTGACCGAATGATTTCTGCATTTGGTGATGAAGCCCCATCCAAAACCACAATTTATCGCTGATTTGCTGAATTTCAACGTGGACGTGTCAAGCTCAGTGATGATCCCCGTCAAGGTCCTCCAAAAACTGCAGTCGCCCAATAAAACGTTGATGCTGTGCGTAAGCTGATTGAGGAAGATGGACATGTGACATACCGCGAAATTCAGGCAACTTTAGACATTGGCATGAGTCAAATACAAATAATCTTGCATGAACAATTAGGTGTAAAAAAAATTGTTTCCCCGATGGATACCGCATTCGCTCTGTGAAGAACAAAAAGCGGCTCGCGTTACTTAGTGCGTCAGAACTCTCAAAAGATTCCACGCAGGATCATCAAATGCTGTATACAACATCGTATCAGGTGACGAATCCTGGATATACGCGTACGAACCCGACACAAAAAACCAGTCACGAGTTTGGGTGTTCGAAAATCAGTTAAAGCCAACAAAAATTGTTTGTTAACGGAGTGTTGCAAAAAAAATGGTGCCCACGTTTGTCTCCAAAACCGGCCATGTTACGACTATTCCTCTTGAGGGACAAAGAACGGTTAATGCAGAATGGTATGCTAGCATTTGTTTGCCACAGGTCGTTTCTGGACTCCGTAAAGAGAACTGCAACCGCCGCATCATCCTCTATCACGACAATGCGAGTTCTCACACCGCACACAGAACAAAAGAGTTTTTAGAGCAAGAAAACATAGACTTATTAGACCATCCGCCGTACAGCCCCGACCTAAGCCCTAATGATTTCTATACTTTCCCTAAAATAAAGAATAAATTGCGTGGACAGAGATTTTCATCACCTGAAGACGCTGTGGACGCCTCCAAAACGGCCATTTTGGAGACCCCAACTTCCGAATTGAATGGTTGCTTCAATGATTGGTTCCATCGTATGGAAAAATGTGTCAAATTTCGCGGAGAATACTTCGAAAAGCAATAAATACATTTTTAAATAGTAATGTTGTGTCACTTCCTTGATTCCCGAAATTTTCAGTGCTGCCCTCGTATTTGGAATTCCGAACCGCATGGTATTTCCAGTACTCAAAATGAATGAGCACCTGCGCTTACAAGTTCGTGAAGTAATCAGAGAAGTCATAAGCCATTGTTTTGTTATGTATGATAGCATAACGGCGTCTCGCATCATTTTATTTTTAATATTCGGTAATTTAATATTAAATAAACGATTGTGTTATAATAATTCCTGGACAAATTTAATTTTATCGTTCTCTGGCCACTTCGCCATTGTTAAAACAATAGCGCAAACCAAAATTAACTACTCGTATTAAAACGCAAACTAAAATTATTCACCAACACGTACATTTCGTGACGTGTTGGCTAGAGCGAGGACGGCTGGCGAGCGAGGGGTAGTAAGGGTAGCGCGGGGCGGAGCTACTTGTCAGAGAATAGAGACAGCCTGCTATTAACTTGTTACTTTTCATTTCACACTTATCACTTGTCACTCGCACTTGTCACTGCCTGTTCACACGCACCAAGCACTTGTCATTTGTCAGTTACACTTGCCACTCGCACTTGTCACTTGTCAAAATGTAAACCGGGCCTAATGGCATTAGATGATGATTATTATTATATTGATAACATGACGTATTTAAATACCTTTCTTGTAGTGTGCAATTAGTGGCATAAAAGTATATTCCATCTCAATCCTCATAAGCAACAACGCTTGTTAATTCATATTTCAGCTGATCCTCGGGAATACACGGTATGTACTCCAATGTGAGCAACCGTGATTAAACGCATTTATTATTATGAGGGGTATCTATATATTTTTCTCATCTGGTTGGGCTGTATAAATATATAATTGTAAATGAAAATGATAAACATACATAAATATCAACGAAATAAAATGAATACATAAATAAATAAAAACCCAACCAGACGGAAGCCCTCGGTAGGGGAGACCAAACGGCCGAGGGTTGGGGGAAAGGGAAAGAAATATTCTTATTATGTGGGGTATCTACATAGTTCACTCATCCGGCTGAGCTGCACAAATATATAATTAGTTTTATTTATTTCAATAAATTAACAGTTTTAATTATAATACAATTTCATCGTGCCAATAAGCATCATTTTGTATATCTTGGCACTGCACAGTTTGCTCTTGTATATTATTTTAATTAAAGTTTTATTTACATACAATTGAAATATAACTATTACTTAAACTAGATATATATTACTAATTTAAAGCTGTGTAATACAACTTACATTATTTTATATAAAACTTATAGTAGGTATTTCTTAAGCAATACTTTTTTTTGTGGAGAAGGTAGTTTAGTTTTGATTTGTTATAAGGAAGACGCTGCTGCCCATCTTCTTCATTTCCCTTTGTCACCTCTTTCCACAGCCACGGCATGATATGGAACCAACCATGGATAGCTATAGTTAATTCTTAAGTGTGTTTATGATATAACTGTTATAATAAAGTATACTACATTTTGATTAATATTTTTTGTAACTTTTTGTTATTACAGACCACCATCGGTATACTCGGTCGCGCCTACAGCAGACGTCGACCATTACTGACCAACTTTTGTGCCAACATTCTGGGCAAAATGGCCCCAACTAACTTATATATTATTAACTAAACAAAATTTAGCATTATTATAACAACTGACTGATTAACGAAACTCGGTGTCTTTTAGAATTTTTTATACAGCTTGATGCTATAGTTTTTTAATATTTATTGGTAAAACATGGCATATTATGTGATGCTGACAGTATTGTACTTTATCTCTCTGTGGTTTCCTTTCCGTGACAATTTTCCATAGAGATAAAAATGTGGCCAAAACTGAAACTTGTATTTTTAACAAAGGTACACGCATATTTGCAATATTTTAAAAAGCAACTACACTACTTTTGTCTTGAGATATTTTCAATCCGCTATTAAGGCCCCCCGAAAGAATCGATATATCGAAGCCACAGAATATTCAAAACATTAATTTTATACTTTTATTCGAGATTCGACAATAACTTAAATATATTCAATAATAACTCAAATATTTTAAACAAAAGATTTTATTGCACTACAAGGTTCTGTAACTAAACAAATCCGTACGTTTACTATAATTAAATTTAACAATGTTTTGTCACAGACATTCAAAATTTTTCTTGTGAAAATTTTGTACATGTCCTTAATAAGAGGTTAAGAAATTCAACTTTTCGACACACGAAAAGTCCACCAATTTCAGCCTTTATTCTTTGTCTGTCACTTACGCTCTCTACATCTATCTATCTTCTTTCATCAAGAATTCCAAAATTTTCACCTGAAACATAATTTGGTACAAAGTGATACAAATTAAATATTATTGCTATGTTATTTACAAATTTAGTGTGTAATTATGTAAGGACAACTTCAAAGTTATTAATTTATTTTGGAGTAAGACATTTTTGCATTTTGAATAGAGATTTGTAATCGTTTAGGTATGTGTTTTATTAGGTATGTGTATTATATATATTGTAATATTGCTTTAGATATAACAAAAACAATCACAGATATTGTAACATACGCACAAAGCACTGACGCATTTTGTAACAAAATATGAAATATAAAAATAACATAGTGTTACATACCTACAAAATATCTTCATCGGCACTTGTCCTTATTACAATAGGTGTAAAATTGTATGTATTTGTAAACTTATCAATATTTGTTGTATATTATGTAAAGTTCAATATTACGCTATAAATATATTTCAATTCTCTCCAAGAGTTCTGCTGTCTTATGTCACATATCCACTTTTTAACAGGCCTGTACTACTGACCATATCCTATTAAATAGCAATAAGCTTTATACTATAATGTTTATCCTTCCTTTTTTAATCTATCGAAATAACTACACTTTATAAAATATTTACAACAATCAACTACAGCTGATATAAAATCTAATAATTGTAACCTGGTGCCTACTCCGTTTCAATATTTTATGAGCATTAAAGTATAATCAAATCGAATAAGTTGACATGAAATATATCTTACTCATTAAAAAACTGCATTATGGTAAATACTTCGGGCTTTTGACAAATTATAAAAATATAACCATGTATATCAAAATTATTGCAAAATTGTACAGCTTTATTTTCATTCCGTCAAATCTAAACGTGATATAATGGACCCAATTTTTCTAAATTGCATAATTTTGTTGATAAATCTCTGTACAGCGACTGATTTTTATATAAATTCATATACAATATGTTTTAGCTAAAATTTTTCGTATCGCTTTGTGAAATAATGTCGTCGTGTTCTGCGTTGGATTGGTCACGTCGTGCCTTATTTAGGTAGTATAAGGATTTTTGTTTTCAATTTCTAATAAAACTATTACTTATTTACAATAATGTAGTTTTATTTACAGTTTTAGCATTACCGATTATATTATAATAATATTTATTTAAGTGAAAACTACACAATGAATAAAACTAATTTACTGATAAATTGCGTTTAATTTTATCTTCCCCTCCCCCCTCACCTTATTACATCATATGAAAAATAACACCTATTTCTACCAAGAGGCATTGTGATTCATCAAGCTATTAAAATAAAAGTTTTTTCAATAAAATATTTAGATGAATGCGTGCTGCTTTCTGTTTGAAATTTTAATAGTAATCAAAATGAATCCAAAATTATTTTAAAGCGGTACACACTGCAAAACTAAAACACTGTAAATTCATTCTATGTATATTGTATTGATACGACGTATATTGAATTGTTGCAGTCAGCTCATAATCTTCGGTTCTAAGTAGGTACCTACATGAAACGAGAGTCTTACTTGCTATAAAATCAGTAGTTTTCTTTTACTTAAACCTGCTCTTCTATACAAGTAGCTTGCATACATAGTGTACAAAACATTACGATTCATTTACAGTACACTTTTCAGGTCAATCATTTTTTGTAATTATTAAATACCAGCAGTCACTGTATGATTGTGTACGCGTCGCGCATTGTAAACAACCAGTGACCACACAAGTTATCTATTCAGTGTTATTTTCTTCACAGCTTTCTAACTCTTAAATAATAAAGCTTGACAGAAGCGACAGTAGCTTGACGATTAACATGAGTTCAAATCTACCATTAACTGATATTGTGAAACACATCTAGCTCAGAAGTCTATTTGGAATGGTTGACGGATATATTAGTAATGTTTTTAACATTGCCAGCTTTTTATTTCAGGCATAGCCCATATGCAAAAAATACAAAAATAAGCAACAATTATAAAACAAAAGCATAAAACAAAAACGCAGAAGCAAGACAACAAGCACAAAAATACAAATTAATTTTACATAATGAGTTAGCAAATATATAACAAAGGCGTTAGTTAATAAATTTACAATCTTACTTAATCTCCTATCGGTCCATAAAAGATTTCCTTCATTCATTCAGTCATTCCTTTTAAAAAAAGTTAGAAAGAGTAATACTTTGGCTCAGTTCGAAGGGAGGATGAGGAAAAACACCTAAATAAAAAAACTCATGGCCGAATCAAACATTTTTGGAAAAATAAAAACTACGCTTCCGGTGGCTCGGACCTGCAGAACAGAATATATGAGTATAATTTGGATGAAGATGCAGAGAACCCATTTAACCCTTTTGTGGCAAATAAGAACAAACTGTTAAGAATGCACTGTAAAATAAATTATTGATAGGTATATTAATGTGTAGTATCCCCTTAGTAGTCTGTGATATAATAGGGTGAAAATATCAACTGATAAGTGATGGTAGAAAAATAATCTACTTGTATTGAAGTAATATGTACTACGTACTAGAACAGACACCGCGATCAAAATTTATTCGGCAGTGCGGGGCGCGAGGTCAGAGTCAGAGGTATGAATACATTTATATGGCATGAAATAAGTATGTTTGATACCCTAGGCTCTAACGCGTGTTACAGACCATCAAGTCTCGATATCTCTTCTAGTACGTAGCAGTAGTTTACGGACTTGTTGAAGCGATGGCGTAGCTTTCTTGACTTTCAAAAAGTGCTTCGTAAAGGCCAATTTTATATTAAACGTTTTGAATATTTTTTTCTGCAAAATTGCTTTTGGACAACCCTATCGAACCAAAGTAATTTTTAACATTATCGCTAGTCGCTACATATCGTAGACGGAGAAATATAGACTCTGTCTACATTACAACATATAGATAGTGACTAAATACTCTTTTATATACTCCATGACAATATAACTCATAGACTTAGAATATATGTACTGCCTCCAGTATATTTTAAGGTCGGCCTCATACATACGGAATTACGTTTCGGAATTCCGCTTCGATATTCCACTTTAAAAATATCTCTAGATAGATAGATCTTTTTACATAATATTGACTATATTGCAAACTTAGGGTGATAAGGGGATGCACCTAGTAATAATGATACAGGAATAATGGAATCGAAATTAGAAAATTGTCGTCATAATTCGATGGCATAATGTCTAGACTCAATGGCTAACGTCTCTCAACTGACCCTTGTTATTCCGAACGGAAAAAAACGTATGTGTGTGATGTATTCACGTAATCCCGGTTCGGGATTCCGTAACGAAATCACGAAACGGAATTCCGTATGTATGTGGCCGACCCAAAGAGTATAGTAATTGTCCTAGAAGGCCGACCTAAGTCTATGATATAACCAAAGAGAATATAATCACTACGTTTAAGAGGCGGGATTTCCATAGTAAAAATAAATACATGAAATTACGCCAAGCTACTGTACCAACATCAAGATATGACATTTACTCTTAGATAGAGGATTGTAGATAGATAGAAGATACTATGTCTATGCATTTACTTTAGAGAAACAGTGCTGACAACATTGACGAATTACAATAGTGCTGAAATGTCTATCCTCGAATAATTTTATCGATATATTGTTTATCGATATTTTTACATAAGAAAATGTCTATACTGAATTATTTATGAGAAATAAATTTTTTAACGTGTGGATTGAGTAAAAATGCCGATGAGGATAAGAAATCAATGTATTTTACACACAGAAATTAGTAATTATATCTCTACAATTAGGTACAAAAATATGTATAAAGAAAATATAAAACGCACTTTTATACTAGTAATTAATTAAATAAAAAATAAATGACGACTCCGTAGCGCAGTGGCTAAGCGTTTGGTTGCGGCATTGTAGGACCGAGGCTTCCTTCCCGCACTGAACAATTGTTGCTATGCTGTAAAATAAATAGTCCGCATCTGGATGCTTGTTTTCAACGTTAGTTTTTTTAAGGGTAAAAATATTGCGTTTTTACTGATTGGATTAAATTGCTTTTATGTGTAACAAATACTATGTACAAATCGCTAGGCTTCTTCACAGAGATACCTATGTACATACTATTCGCAGAGATCGTTTACTAATTGTCGCTTTCAAAATGAGTGCTCATTATAGCTAATGTTTGTAGCTGAATCTATAAAAAAATATTTATAACCAGGTAATTAAAAATAACTTTGAGTTTATTTATATAATCGAATTCTTACCAAAATGTGACTTTAGAGGTATATTATCTTTTGCTACATGTAAATGAAACCTAATT